AGCAATCTTGAGGAAGACAAAGAACAAAGATGGAAACATTAAAGCCACCTAATTTTAGGCCTATCCCTGTGGTGCTTGCCTGTAATACCAGCTAGTCAGGAGGCTGAGGCGGGAGGATTAAAAATGAGAGATCAGTCTGGATAACTCAGTGAGACCCTATCTCAAAATAATTTCAAAAGGTCTGTGGATATAAGCTAAAGGGTAAAGTCCGCCTGGGTTCAACACCCAGTACTGGGGGAAAAAAAAAACCTAACTTCAAAACATACCACAAACCAGGTGTGGCATCTAATCCCAGCACTGTGGGAGGCTACAGCAGGAGAATTGCCAGTTCATACCCTGTTTGGGCAACTAAACTTAGAGAGACCCTAAGTCAAAATAAAAATTAAGCCAGGCATGGTGGCGCACCCCTATAATCCCAGCACCCAGGTGGCTAAGGCAGGAGAATCACTGTGAGTTCGAGACCAGCCTGGGTTACATAGCGAGTTCCAGGTCAGTCTCAATCAACTACATAGTAAGAACTTGTCTCAAAAAACCAAAATATCAATTAATTAATTAATTTAATTAAAAGAGCTGAGGATATAGCCCAGGGTGAAGACCCTGAGTTCAATACATAGGACCAAAAAACAAGTAAGATATACTAGTTAAAACAGCACGGTACTGGCATAAAAACAGGCCAACAGAACAGAATGAGAAACCAGAAATAAATCCACCTGTTTACACTATTTATAGCCAACTAATTTTTTTTTAAGCAGAGGACTGAATACAGAGCCACACCACTGAGTTATAGCCTCAACCAGCCTTACAAACAAATTGATTTTTTTACTGCAAAAATATAGACTGGATAAAGGAAAGTCTCTTCAATACATGGTACTGACAAAACTGGTGTCCATATACAGAAGAAACTAGATCTTTCTTTCTCACTGTATACAAATATCAATTTAAACTAGATCAAAGATGTAAATGTAAGACTGCAAACTTTGAAACAACTAAAGAAATATATAGGAGTGCTTCAGGGCATTGATCTGGGAAAAATGTTTTGGCTATGACCCCAAAGCACAGGTAACAAAAGCAAAATCCTGACAAACAGTATTATATCAACTACAGGTTAAAGCAAATGCCTAGTCTACCATGTCTAAGGTCCTGGGTTCAAGCCTAGTATAAGCATGCCTGTAATCCCAGCAATCTTTCAGGCTGAGGTAGAAACATCAAAAGCTCAAGCACAGCCTAGGCAATTTAGCAGGACTGGCTCAAAGTAAAAAGAGATGTAGCGGGCTGGGGATTTAGCTCAATGGTGTCACGCCTCTTGCCACAAAAGTATAAGGACCCGAGTTCGATCCCCAGTACCAAAAAAAAAGAAGAAAAAGAAAAGAAAATGTACTATTTCCTTAGGAGCTAGTTCTTACCAAAAGGAGGGATCTGATCACTGAAGTAGTCTACCATTCTTTTTTTTCTTTCTATTTTTGTGGTACTAGGGATTCAACCTGGGATGTTCTACCACTGAGCTACATTCCCAGTATTTTTTCTTTTTTTCACTCTTAAATACATGTACATCTTATCTCTTGGATCAAACTCGGGTCCTTGCACTTGCAAAGCAGGCGGCAAAACCACTGAGCTAAATCCCCTGCCCATTCCCAGTATTTTTTAAGACAGGGTCTCACTAAGTTGCCCAGGCTGGCCCCCAACTTGCAATCCTCCTGCTCAGACTCCTGAGTAGCTGGGATAAACAATACCTAAAATTACAAAAGAAAAATTATTTTCAAAATAAAATTCTATTACTAAATATGGTATCATTTTTGACAGTAAAATAAAAAACATTTTCATATCATGCAAAGTTTCAAAATGTGATCTCCCAACTAGGCATGGTAGTTGGCACGGGTAGCTCTACCCAGTTAGGTAGGAAGCTGAGGTAGGAGGATCACTTGAGCTCAGGAGTTCACAACCAAGTTTGTCTCAAAAAACCAAAAAAAAAAAAAAAGA